ACAATGACAAAAGTCGTTGCAAAAAGGTGTATTTTGCAATGTTTTAGTTATCACTAAAAGAGGTATTTTCTAACAATCATGAATTGTTTTGTTAAATAATATTTTGTTACAGTAATTGTTGTCAAAAATACAATTTGTAATGGTTTTAGTTGTTGCTAAAACATTTATTCCCCAACAATTACTCACTGTGAAATATTGGTTACGACAACAATTAATTTCATAGTAAAATATTATTTTATGAAACAATTAAAATAGTTAGGAAATATCTCTTGTAGCAACAACTAATATTGTTGCAAAATACATATATTATAACAACTTTTATCGTTACAAATATTTCTTTAAATAATAATTGAAAGTTGTTTTCTTATATTACTTTTAACAACTTGTTTCTAAATATCATTTTCAGAAATAATTATGATTGTTGTAAAATATAACTTTCGATAACAATTTATGGTATTGTTAAATAATACTTTTGGCAACAACAAATAGTAAAGCTACACGTAATAACGTAATTGGTGTTTGGTGAAAAGGCTTCTTCACTGCTTGCACAGTTGCACGCACTAATATACCTTCTCGCTACTTCAAGGATTTTCACTACATGTAAACTAGAAACCAAAATGTAACAAATTAGTTAAAAAGCTACAAAGCAATCCAGGATTGATCAAATCCTTTGGAGGAGAGAAAGATTGTATTATTCCTAAGAAATTGAAGTTTTAATAAATTAGTCTCTAAACCAATAAAGTAAATAATATTTTAAAGCAAATAATACTTACTTTTCTAAATTAAAGCTACCGGTTGCGAGTTTAACCCCACCAACTATTTAAAAAATTCCCATCCCTTTTCCAAAAATTTCCTATTTTCGAAAAAGAAAAGAAAAGAAAAGAAAACGTAGATTGATAGAAGTAGACATGCATAATCAAATCAAGTTGGCTTGATATCTTATTGTTCTTGAGGACTGATTGACTTGTTACAATTAAAAAAAAAAAAAGATAGTGTAAAATTTATGTATAAGTGAATATTTACTTTAGATATATATAAAGAGGACACTAATATAATCTTTTTACTTCAACACATTTTATAATACATTTAATAAAAAATTATTATTATTCAATCTAAAATTCAATGTGAAAACAATTAAACTTGCAGCAATGTATACAACATGAGGAATTAATTAAATTGATTCTACTTATATTATATTTTAATTATTAAACCAAGTGAATGTCAACTGGTGTGTTAAATTAGTGGATGTAATAATCATTTTATATATATATTGAATGTGAAGAAAATATACAAGAATTGCTGTTAAAAAATATACATATACAAGAACAAAAAAAAATAAAAAAATCAATATACCTTATGGCATCGAACTATTGTTTTTTGATCAATTCGAGAGTTTTGAAGAAGGTTGAGAATGCAAGTTGACGAAAAGAAAGGATGTGCTTAGCTAAAGGCTTCTTCACAAACTGCACGCTTCAGTATGCTTCCTACCTTCTTCAAAGACTTTCATTACATGTAAAACAGAAACCAAATGTATTAAATTAGTTAAAAGGTAGAAGACTGATCTAATCCATTGGAGGAGAGGGAGAGTACTTAATCCAAAGAAATTAAATAAAAAAATAATTATTATTTTTAATAAATATAAATAAATCACAACTATTAAAAGTAAAAATAAACAGTTAAAATTTTGTATAATATAAATGTAGTGAGTAAAATTTGTGTATAAATAAATATCTATTCATATATGTATATGAGGTAAGATCCTTTTACACACATTCTTATAAATTTTACACAAAATCACAACTACTCATTTTATACTGTGAACAATTGAAATTTATCATATTTTTTAGATAAAATAATGATTAACTTAAAAAAAAGATAAAAAATAAATAAATTTTAATCATTCGTAATGAAAAAATAAATAGTCAAAATTTATGTAAGTGATATATATAAAAGTTATGTATAAGTGGATTTTTAACTATTTATAGTTTTATTTTTAATAGTTGAGATGTAATTATTTTTATTATCTAAAAAGTTAT